GCATAATTCTTGTAGCATTTCAGCTCACGGTACACATTTACATTGTTGGACCTTTCTGGTTACAGAATCTATAGAACGTGACAGAAGCGCACGGGCTTACAGCCTAAAATATCTCATACTGTCACGGTTCACAGACGGAAATTGAGTAACAGAGAGCCACTTTGATGTCTGGTCGTGTCCGAACCATTGTAGTATACGATTCTCATTTTGTTACTAGTGACAATGGTTGAATTAACATTGAAGCATGTGCATTGGAGGCTAAATTTGCAGTGAAGTTGAGCATATAGATGCAAATTCTCTTCCCTTATTTATGTATTAATTGGATTACAGGTATCTTCAAGGGCTTAGACCTGAGGCTGGAGTGCATAGTTTCTTTTCTGAGGCATCAGGAAGCAGCAGGGCTGTTCAAATGGATGCACCAATGGACAACACATGGCCAATAATGCCATCTCGATCGCCGTCTTTCCCGGCATCAAAATCGACTGAAAACTCCATCTTCCAAAGTGGATATCTGCAGCATTCGTTCTTCGGTGGCGAATATCCATCTGGGGAAACTCTGAAACAAGAAGCTCAATCGCTTCAACCGCTCTTCGATGAATGGCCGAGAACTAGGGAGTCATGGACTGGACTCGACGAAAGATCCAATCAAACTTCCTTCTCCACTACACAGCTCTCCATATCAATTCCAATGTCTTCATCCGACTTGTCGACCACAAGCTCGAAATCTCCTCATGGTTAGTACCTGCTTCTACCACGCCTGTTCGGTTTCTTCATGCATATTCTTAGTTCATCCTCAATATCATTCTCCATATATGATTGAAAGCAGCATGATGCTTTGAGAAAATTTTCAAGTTTTATCTCTCAACTTCAATGCCTGAATTTTGAAAGCTAGTCGTTCACGTTCGGTATATGTGAGCGAACGTGTCGTTGGAGAATTCTGTTGTATTCTTGTCTTGTTTTCCCTTTGCAGCTCTGTTTTTCGGGGTATCGAAAACTTGGTTGTGTAAACAATTTGGAAGCTGAATGTTGTTATTAGGCTTGGAATAATACAAAACTATGGCTTGAAAATTTAGAGTAAAGTAAGATTATAATGAGGTTGACAACAAATGGATATTTGTTGTAATGTTTCTTCTCAACTTTTATGTTATATTTTTGTTGAACAATGTTGCCTTGCTTGACAATGGACAACCTCACAAACATAGTTAGAACATGTTTGATTCTTTTAATGGACAAACATAGACAAGGGACAACGTTGTTCTTTTAATTAGATGACATAATTGAAACGTGTTTGGTGTTTGGTTCTTAAACTTTCATGTAACTAGGTATGTAGTCTATCTACTTTAAAAGTTGTAGTCATTAGTGTGAGATCCTATATCAGTTGGAGAGGAGAATGAAGTATCTTTTATTAGAGTGTGGAAACTTCTCCCTAATAGGCGTGTTTTAAAAGTCGACGATAACGGTCCAAAATAGACAATATTTACTAACAGTTAAATTGGCTATTGAAACATTTTTTTTTTGTTTTTGGCGGGAAAAAATTGTTACCACATTTTAACCATAGGATTTAATTCCTTCGCTATAAATTGACCTCGGGTAATAAATCATGGTACCCGTTCACCACCATCTTAGGAGACTTGGACATTGATGGATATTAAAAAAAAGTTATGTATTGTATATATTAAAGTTTATAATTATACAATTTCTGGCTTTCATCATTTCCTTTAGGAACAAACGTGCCCACTTGTATACTGAATACGTGACCTTGCTTCTATTACCACCACTCTGGGTACTTAAAGGTTGCAGTAATTCTGAGGGTCTCTGTCGAGGTGCATTGACTTGTTGACAGGTCAATATGACACATTTCTTTTCATATGAGGCCATAAGTAGCATTTTTAAGGTGTTGGTACAGCTTGATAATTCTTGGATGCATCGTAAATAGTGATCTATGAGTCTTTGCTAACAACTCTGGGTGTCATGTGTCACAATCATACTATGAAGAGAATAGGTTGTGGCTTTTATGTGTAGTCATGACAAGGTGGCAAAATGAAGTGGCACCCAACTGGCCACGTGAGAGCCGAGACAAGATAGTGCCATGATGCGATCGAGGACGGAAAATCATCCAACACATTATATAAGTTATACATTGAAGCCAAGCCAAGACATAGGCAAGAAGGAGTCATCGAGTAGACAAGAGTGTCGAAGATAGACTTATTGAAGGGTCAGGTAGGGTCTTGGGCCTTAATCTTGAAAGTCAGGATTTTGTAGAAAATTTGGGCATTCGATTCTAGAGTCAAATCCATCTGTATGAAATATGAATGCTCACCAAATTTGGTATCAATCGGATACCGAACGAATGTTCCACAACATTGTATGACCGTTCGTCAAAATCTTGTCTACACCTGCCAAATTGTAAATGCCTCAAAATGTACCTTAAGGGGGAGACATGATGTTAGCTCTCCACCACCCTTAAGCCATGTGACCTAAGTGAGCTACTCTATGGCACATACTTGTGTCACAGTGAGGGCGAGCATTATGAGACGAGTGTCTCGGGCGACCTCCTATGAAATGAATTTTTCAAGAACAATGTCAGACGACATGGGTGTGCCGACTTTGCGACCCAGCCCATGTGTCGGCGGTTGGATCATACTCTTGCTATTTGGAATGAAGTCAGTAAATGATATGACATGGACACGAGAGGGTCCAATGCCTCGATAAAACTGAATGGATGAATTTTTAGGATGTCCCAATATTGAGAATGACACATAGGCCCGCTCTCGATGGCATGATCTAGTGAGCTGTGATGGCTGACGATACCCCGTGACTTGAGATGGTGTCAAGATATATGTTAATTGGAAACCTAAATGATATGAGATGCGACGTTAAATGAGAGACCTTGGCTTCGAGTCGAGGCAAGGTCAAGTCGAATGACATGGTTTAGTATAGAAGCAACTTGGTTAAGCCACAGATGATTGAACATGCACGCACGGGCAGAGTGTGTGGTCGAACAAGCTTAGATTTCGTACAAGTTGTGTTCAGTGGGTGAAGAAAAACTTCGCCTAAGGTCTAACGAAGACACAAATTTGGGCAAAAAATGTATATGGGGCTTGGGTTCACCTCAAGGCTAGTCGTGAGCATGTCATGATCATGATGCCACACGGTTGAAAAAGTATGACCGTGACATCATGCCTATATGTTGGTTTAGCTTCTCTATCACAGACTACTAGCAAATGTTGTACTCCCCTTAAAGTTGTAAGTTGTATGGACTCGTATGTCCTCATGCAATGCCCTTCTTAGGTGTGATCTAAGGTTCGTCCAGACTTCCTTCCTTTTAATGTTTCGTGAGTCGGTAAGCGTATTCCCTCACCATTGATATCTATGTCTCGTAAGTGGCAAATCATTGACTTATCTCTCCATACTCTCGATTGCATACTTAGTATTGATTCTTTCCTTGGAATCAACCAAAGTGTAACGAAACTCATGCCGACTATAGTGTTGGAATATCAAACTTTACATCTTGTTATGGTCTTATAAGCTCTTGATCATATCATGAGTCTAGTTAAGGTATCACGGTTTTGGACTTGAGTTCCTTATCATTCATAGTCACAAATTCATGGAAGATTCATTCACATGATCATGAGCTAGGTTCTTGGGCCGCCTATGTCTAAGTCCTAGTTATATGAACCCATGTGGTCCCTCCCTCGTCCTTCCACGGTGGGTTTATAGAATGTGGTCTTATTTCGAGAGCCCATCCATTTTCATACAGTAAATAGTCATAATTTCTGAATCAAAGACAGTTCCCTACTTAGAACAATCTAGGTCACGTGGTTGGTATAAAATTGTATGGCTACTAATCTAGATAGTAAAATCTTGACACCTTACTAATCGGGTGATGGTTGTGAGCTCGAGGCGTATCAAAAGATAAGGAGGTACTAGGTGATTTTAGGCTAGGTAGGCTGGGTTTGGTTCTTTCCATGACGTGGTACTTAGCTATCAAGGTGTTAAGTCAGAATTAAAATCAACTGTGTTTATTTATGAAATTAGCTCAATAGGCTAGTTCCGATCTTACTGTAGAGCATTCATCTTATGTTCATAAAGCATTAAAAAAAAGGTCAACTTAAGTATGGAGCTTGACGGTTTTTCTCTCATGGTCATTCAGTTATTGTTGTGCATAAAATAACTTTGCTCAATTCCACCGATATGAAATATTAATCTTTTCAATTAACTAATTTCTAAACAATGATTAAATATTTTGCCATCATATCATATAAAAACTCAATTGTATAGAACACCTCCACTTTTATGTCTCCATATGAAAGACTTGGACCAAATCATTTGAAACAATTCTAAAGTGCAACACCGAGAAATAAATACCCAATTTTTCTTTAAAGTTCTAACTTTCCGATGGAATTTTAAGATGATGCAGTAGAAAAATGCTCAAACAAATCCCTAAAAATCAAGAAAAATATGAAAAAACAGTAAAAAAATTTGATAAAAGTGGTCAAAAGTCAACCCTCGAGAAATATTTTGGTCATCATAGCCTCCAAGAGAACAAAATGATATTGAGAAAAAAAGTAGGTTGAGGGTGTTCGAGTTTCGTTAATTAAGGGAAGATTATGCGTATATAATTAGGGACACTATTTTCATTTGTATGAGGCATTTTGAGAAAACTAACATTAAAGTCACGAGATCTTACATTATAAGGGGACAATATCATAATAGTATGGAGTGTGTCGTTCCTATCAGAAGGTACTTAAATGGATCCCCTCCTTCCTACTTCTTGGCCATTCTTTGGTCATGTCGTTCTTCTAAAATAGGTAGAATTTTAATTTAGCTTTCCAACAAAATTTTATATTTTATGGATCAAAGGAATAACTTAAGATTAAAATTTAAAAATTTTACCACAAATTTTGACACGAAAGAATTATGAGTTCATAATCAAGGAATATTATCTCCATTGGTAAGACCTTTTAGAAAATACAAAGAAAAGTCACGAGAGCATAAGCTCAAAGAGAACAATATCTCATGGAAATGCGAGCCTGCAGCGGCTTCTTCATGACGATGGAAACCTCAAACTTTTCTTCAAGATCAACTTCACCCTCCTCATCCCATTTGAACACCCACACCAAATTCCCCACAAAATACTGCAAATGAAGCATCGAAATCCCAGCTCCGGGGCACATTCTTCTCCCTCCCCCATATGGCATGAACTTAATCTCCTTCCTCCCCCTCCAAATCTCTGTAGCTTCCGCTTCCACGTTTGTCAAGAATCTCTCCGGCCTGAACTCCATCGCCTCCTCCCATACCTCCTCGTTCCTCGCCATCTCCGCCAACGCTAAATGCACTGTCGTTTTCTCCGGCACCACGAATCTCCCATCCAATACCACTTCCTCTGTCACTGTATGTGGTAGAGCCAAATGCCCTGGCGGATGCCTCCTCAAGGTCTCCATTATCACTGCTTTCAGGTACGGCATCTTCTTCACATCCTCCTCTCTTATGTAGTCTTTCCATGATGCTCCATCCATCGCCTCATTCATCTCTCTATATAGCTTCTCTTGGATTTCTGGATATTTTACGATGTTTGCCATTGCCCATTCCATCACCACTACTGTGGAATGGACGATTCCGTTGAGAAACTCCACGCATAGGCTGATGATTTCACCTTCTTCGAGCTTCCGATTCTCTTCTGGGAGGTGTAGGTTTATCAATGTGTCGAGATAGGGCGAAATGTGTTCTGATTTTGTTTCTGATTCTGATTCTGATTCTAATTCGTTGTTCTTTTGTTCGATTTCGCGTTGTTTTTCGTGGAATCTGGATTTAATTAGAGGAATTATTGCAGTTTCGATTTCGTTTCGAAGTGTTGAGAGTTCCTTCCAAAGATTAGGGCAGAGGAATTTCCCTAATTTTAGTGGATACTGATTGAGTTTGTTTTCGTTACTGGAACACAACAGAACGCGATGGAGGAGATCGGCTAGGGCTTTGATTCGATCCTCGTCGATCTTCAATCCAATGCACATGAACACTGATAACTCCGTCATAGTCGGCCAGAAATGGTCGACAAGGCGAACGGCAGTGGCGCCGCCCTGGGAGTGCGATTTCAGGCGAGAGACTAGCGAGTGCAGGCTCCACCGGTGGGTGTCGGAATGGAGTTTCAGGCGAGAGGGGTGGAGGATTTCAGAGACAAGGTTACGACGGAGGAGGTTCCAGTTGGGGCCGTGGAAGGCGTTGAAGATGGTAATTTGGTTGCTGTAGAGGATTTTAGTGGTGGTGGAGGCAGGGGGGCGGCCAGCGAAGGCGGCGCCGTTGTGGATGAGAGCTTGGTGGGCGATGGAATGGGCAGCGATGAAGATGACAGGGCGGGAGCCGAAGTGGAGTGTGAAGATGGGGCCATAGTGAGCATGGAGGGTGTGAATCAGCGATGAGAATGATGAGGAGTGTTTCCGGAGGAGGAAGATGTTGCCCAGAAATGGGAGAGGGAATGGTCCTGGTGGAAGGTTGTTGAAGGAGCGGCCATGGCGGATGAGCATGAAGATTGTGAGGATGGAGATGATGGTTATGATGAGAATTGGAAGAGATGTAGTTTCCATTTTCAACATTCACAAAGATGGCAGAAGCCGAAGACGATCCAACCCATGCACAAGTAACGAATCCTTGGCTTCCCCTTATATAGTCGACTTCCTTTATTTCATTTTCTTTATTAATTTTAATATGATTTTTTTTTAACTTTTTCTATTAATATTAGTCGGTAATAAACTCGAAAATCTAAAGTTATATTATATATAATAAAAATTAAATCAAATTTTAATAGGTTAAAATTATTTTAATAATTAACTTAATAAAAATAAATTAATTAACGCCCATTAATTATTAGTTAATGTAATAAAATTGCTGGTAGGAGTAATTATCAAGCTAAACAATCTTATTTATTGATAACATTAATATCTTAATTTATTTTATTTTGAACAAAATCAGTTAATTAATTAATTGTTCTTAGTTTACAAATTTATTACCATTAATTCTTTAATTATAATAAATCAATAATATTTAATTTATTTTGATAAAAAAATTATTGACTTTTTTAAGATAGCATTTTTCTATATTTGTCTCAATATTTAGATTCAATAGGACAATTCATTTGAGACTATCACAAGACGCGACCTCTTGAATAATCTAACTTTATTATGACGTATACAGATATTGATGCTAAGATAGCTACATATGATATAACAATTAAGATACAACCTTGCAACCCCATATTATGATATAATAATTAAGGTGCGACTGTAACGATCAGAAATTTTCTACTTAATTTGAAATTGTCATTGTATACATATTATGAACATTAAATGTGAAAATACTTCATTTAAACTTTTACAAAACATCACCTTCAAAGTCATGAACTTACGTGTTTTGAAAACACCTTTAAAACGACACAACAAAACACTAAATAAAATAAATAAATGTTTAACTTAAAAACATCATACTCTAGCCTAAGTCTAAAAAAATAAATGCGACTACCCTATGCATGTATCATGGTCTCGAATTGCGATGTTTTCCTCAGTCGTACAAGAATGTCTTGTCTTAACATGAAATAGAAGTAACACGTGGTTTGAGCATTTAAAGAAATACTCGGTACGTGACCCCACTATTGGGGTTAAATGGAATAACATGTGAATGCAATGACTAGACCTATCATAACAGTCTATTTTCTTATGATACTCTCCTACAGGTAGCTTAGATGTGTACTATATACTCTACACATGGCCTACACCTGCGAGTGTGGACCCACCAGTCGGTTCACACACTCCTGGACCCTTTTCCTTGTTGGGCGAGCATGCTCTGATAGCTCTCTGTGCCAGACACCCGTTAGAAGTAGTAGCCGTCACGGAAGCATTATGTAAAACATAATGGTCGTTCTTTTGCCTAGTAGTGAACGTGTCCGTGCCATCGTGAAGGAATATGAGTATCCCCCTATGCATGAAGTCTCAATAGTTTTCCATTTTCATTATCTTTTAATACAAGCCCGCTGACGTTTCGTACGTATCATATCGTTTTTCATATCATTTATCATATCTTTCATGCATACGTCGGAGTTGTATTTTATGCTAGTTCGTTGTTTTGTATGTCAATCATATCATATCATTCAGATTACATAAATATGTCACATCATAACGTTTCATGCTTCTAGACATAACAACTTTCATCATATCGCTACAGGAACGTATATGATTATGATATATTGATAGAACGTATCCTAACCATACGTTCTATCAATATATCATAATCATATCCTTTTCTATACATAACCTAACCATATCGCTATGTCAATCATATCTTAGTCATATCGTTACATTACAATTATCGTGTCCTTCTCGTATCCTATCTCACACATATCATTGAACACATCATGACGTAACAGTTATCATATCATAACACATACATAATATGTCAAAGTTATATTGATTCCTAAACAATTCACACATATCAATATATATGATACGTACAGAACCATGGGACACGTGTCACATCAAATATAATCATGCCGATAGTAAGGTCACTTATTTGATTAGCTTAGGCCGGTCTCACCAATTTGTCCTTAATAAAAATTCGATTTTGTCCTTTGCATCCAAGTCAACCATCAATTTCAAGTTTAATTCTCTATATTTTATAATACTTTAGTGTTAGACTTCGTGCGTGCATCAAGACTGTCTTAGAATATTATATATAGGTATAATTTAAGGATCTCATTGGTCTATACTTATGAAAAATTTTCTTCGTTCAAAGGAATATCGGTCTTTGGTGGAGACTAGAATCTCTGCCTCAGCGAAATTAGTAGAGATTACTAGAGCACAACAAAAGACAATTGCAGACTAAAAGTTGAAAGACTTGAAGGTCAAGAATTATTTGTTTCAAGCCATTGATCGAACTATTATGAAAACGATCATTAATAGAGATACTGCCAAAAAAATTTGGGACACTATGAAGCATAAGTACCAGGTTTTCACAAGAGTCAAAAAGCACAACTCCAAGCTCTTAGGAAAGAGTTTGAAGTCCTATAGATGAAAGAGGGCGATAGTGTTGATGCATATTTTGCTCACCATAAGCAAATGGAGAGAGGGTTACTTTCAAATTGTTTTCAAAGCATTTCCTCACTCATGCTTTCAGAAATATTTCTCTTAAACATGACCCGAGACTCAAGTATACGCCAATATTGTCTGCGAGTTCGAATCACAAACAGTTAACTTGTTCCCTAGGTTAGAATAAGTGCAGCACAATCGTTGTCTCGATATTGCATAAATGTGACTGTGACAAATGGTATTAGAGCTGAGTTGACTTCTTGAATCGTAGTACACAAACATGTTCTCTACAAAACCACTGGGCAAGTCCCAGGCTGACCGATTGGTAGAGATCGAAGATCGATTACTCTACCTAAGTGAAGTTCCTAATGGAATGAGACTTTTAGAGTCTCGCATGAGTGAGATTGATATTAAAGTCACCAGGACTGACGAATTGGTAGGTCGCCTTGAGACAATGTTGTTCGTGAATTAATGGTTAGGTGGCTTCGAGAGTGGGGATACCTTGATGAGCAATATTGTCCTATTGGAGAAATGCATCAAGGGCTTAGACAATGATGAACAAGTGATCGTTTAGATGATCTTATAAATGTTTGAGGATTTGAGAGCAACCTTTGGAGTGGTCAAGAATGAAGTGACGAATCTGATTGCAAGACTAAACCTCACCATGATAGTGGAGAAAAACCAATCCCCAACTGCGGTGTAATCCAACTCAACATGATAAGTCCCGGAGCTTAATCCCTTCTGTGGGGTTTGAGATGCCAAGGCTCTAGAGAACTTTATTTTTTACCTCGAAAAGTACTATCGAGCCAAAAATATCGTGGTAGAAGAAGCGAAGGTTACGTTGGCAACAATGCATCTAGCCAATGATGCAAGGTTGTTGTGGAGATCTAAGTACATGGACATTCAAAATAGTTGATGTACTGTGAAAACTTGCGAGAGCTTAAAATAAGAACTTCACTTGTAGTTCTTCCTAAGAATGTCGAGATAATCGCAAGAAGGAAGTTAAGGAAGTTGAAGTATACTGGGAATATCTGAGACTATGTTATGCAATTTTCTGGGCTTATGTTGGATATTTGTGACATGTCCGAGAAAGACAAGGTCTTCAGTTTTGTTAAGGGGTTTAAGCTGTGAGTAAAGGCCAAACTTCATGAACAAAGGGTATAAGACCTTGCCACAACCTACGCTACAGCCAAACAACTATTTGACCTTATCAACGATTAATCACAAGACGAAAGGTGGAACTAGACTTTCATAAGTGGAGGTAATAGAAATTACCAGCCCAATTCCCCCAAAGGTGGGGGAAGTGACAGACTTAAAGGCAGAGGAGAGGAAAACGAGTTCTCCCAACAGATAGGTAGAGCTCAATGGCAAAAACCTCACCGCAAGAATAGTCACAGACAAAGCTCCTTGTCCTATTTCATATGCGATGAAACCATCGAGAATCTGAATGCCCACAGAAGGCGACACTATATGCCTTCCAAGAAAAACTTGGGGTGAATACAAAAGCTGAGTATGAGAAAGTAGAAACTGAAACATCGTTCGTTGAGAATGTTGAACACCTTGCATGGAGGCACTAAAGTACTTGTCCACTCTCTAGAATAGAGTGGAAGAGATAGATAAGTTAGTGGAACGTGGTCTTATGTATTTCGAGGCATAGGTTAATCTCAGAATGATGAGGTTTGTTGACTATGGAGCCACCCACAACTTCATGACAGAGAGCGAAGCAAAACGCTTGAACATCCTTTGGCATTGAGACACAGGAAAGATGAAGGACATCAATTCAGAAGCTTTACTTTTCTTAGGAGTTGCAAAGAAAACTTCGACTAAGATGAGGACTTGGACTGGACAAACCGACTTTGCGATAGTCAAGATGGATGACGTCGACATTAGGGGTGAACTTCCTGTTAAAACACAAAGTCATTACCATTACCTTAGCAAAATGCTTAGTAGTAACGGGGTCC